GCCCCAGCTGCGGCTCCTTTTGAGCCGGCATCACTCGAGCTCCTAGCTACGGTGAGGATTCTTCCAACAACAACTTCATCATACAGTGTTGAAAGCCGATGCTCTCAAATTCACCATGCCGCGGCATCATGTTCCCGACTTTGGAGAACGCCATTTAGAGAATGAGATCCACAACTCAGACCATCGCCAGGTTTCCTCAATTCTGTCGCCACTAGGATTATTTCGGTGTGCAGTCTAGCATGCAATCGTTCTGACAAAGGCTTGCTGCTGCAGTACTGTCCCACAGTCCAAACCGTCAATCCAAGATTCCGAAGCCCCGAATCCATTTTCAGCTGAGCTGCCTTCAATGACGCTCATTGAGGATCCGGGTGCTGCGATCTTGGCGGACTTACTCGACCGTTTGGCTCGATAGCTCGGCTTGAGGTTGCGTTGATCACTAGGCTGATCCGTTCATGCCAGTGTGAAAACCTAGGGACCCGGAGTAGACCTCCGAAATCAAATGTATGCTGACTGTGTATAGCCGATTGCCTGTAGAGCGCAGCCCTGAGGTTGCTGAAAATTGGTTTTGCTTTCATTCGTCGCGAAACATCGAGATCGGAAGTTCTCCAGGCACAAAAAATGGAAAGAACGAAGGAAGGAAGGTTTGTGCAGCACCTGTGGCCCATGGAGCCGCATAACAAGATACAACAAGTGGGTGCTTGCTCGCATGTTGGGTCCGCCCTCCTCCCCCTGCGCTCGTGCGATATGTGAGTGACCTCTGCAGCACAGACAAAGGAATGGGGGAACTCCTCCCTATCTCTCGCTCTCGCTCGCTCCCCCGCCCCCCACCGACAGCATACAGCAACTGATGACATACCCTTAGCGTGGAGCTTAAAGCTTTGCAAAGTGACACAGAATGTGAACTCGTATTCAAAAGCGGAAACCCGATCGAATGTAAACCGCAAGTGCAACCCTGCTGCCAAAATCTGTGCGGACCGGGGCTCTGCGACTGCTGCTTCTTGGCTTCGCGATCCTTTGCTTCTTTTGCGATCCTCCTTCCCGCTTCTTTTCGCATCTGGAAGGTTTGTAGTCGGTGTCGCATGTACATGTCGAAGCTCAGCTCCTCCGGGTTGTCATAGTTGCCGGGCCCAGGCGACATCGAAACAGTGCGCTCGATCCGCGAGCTGCGAGATTGGCTCCAGGCCGGAGTGTTGTTGTGCCGCCACATCTGGCCGCCGATCTGGGTGCTTCCGATGCTCAAGGATCCCAATCCCTCGGCCTCGGTGGGGGGCCCCAAGTGTGTGGACGGCAGTGGCACGGACTGCGGCGAGTCTGGAACTTCGGGTTCTGAGCGTGGTGAAAGGTCGGAACCAAAAGCGAATCCTGACGGCCACAGCTCCGGCTGCCGGAAGCCAAGCCTTCGGCTACTCGGGCTGAGGGTCTGGGGCTCATGCAGCAGGGGCATGTCTGTCGGGCGTCGGCTCAGGCCAAGTAGATTCACAACGCCTTTTGGGGCCAGATCGACACGAGGCTCGCTTGGCGCTCTTTGCATTTCTATGCTTACATGCTCTACCTCAACCTCGCTTGGCCGAGCAGTTGGCGAATGCTGGCAGGGTCGATTGGCCGGCGGCTCCAGCCGTGTGAAGCAGGGAGTTGGTGGACTCGGCTGTCCATGCGCCACCTCCTTTGGCATCGGACTCGTTGGATACCGAATCCAGTGCTCCCTTTCCCCCGCACTGCATGGACAGAGAAGGAAGGGCAATGGCAATGGTGGGAGCACGTCAGTTTCCTGAAAGAAGGGCTTGGCTTCTCTTCGTTGATGTGCGTCTGTCGGCCATGCTGGCAGAGGTGCTGGGACGAGCTGTACCCGCGGCTGGCTGCGTGAAGCCGAAGGCTGGATAGGCTGGCTTGCCACGGCAGGAAGTGAGGGACGCTCCGTGTGCAGAACGACTTGGATTCGCAGAGGGCGTGGCCTGGTCTGCTGCTGCTCTGGCTGCTCTGGCCTAGCCATGCTGGGACAAGATGCAGGAGAAGATGCAGGTAGTATCCGGTTCTGCGGGTACTGCTGGGACGGCCATTCTGGCACAATTTCGCTTGACCGCTGGCAAAACCCTGCAAGAGGCAGCTGAGGCAGTTTGGGTGAAGGCTGGGGCTCCCTCTCGTGGCGCACAGCTGGCACAGATTGCGGCAAAAGCGACCGTGGCAGCAACCACACCCTCGGACTGACCCGCGGAGCACCTGGGGCAGCCAGTTTCGCAGCTTGTGAGACCATGTGACCCCTAAACTCCACCGCCCCAAACCCTAAACCTCCCTACAAAACCCTCATGGAGGCTCTCGTACCTGTGCCACAAGGAACCCTATAACTTCACGGCTTTGCTAGATGCAGGGCACCTGCGAAGTCCACAAGCACGACCAGTGGAGCACATGGTGATCTGCAGGGGCCCAGCCCAAGCCGGGCAAAAACGGGAGCTTGGAGACTTCTCCGGCAACTTCCCTTTCTGTCGCAGAGCACTGACGGCCGAGGCTCCTGAATGCTCCCAGGAACGGGGACCACGCGAACGAAACTGCAAAGGCTCCAAATGCTGCACCGACTGCAGCAGCTCCGATTTCTACAGAAGCCAACAAGCATGCATAGCACGCAAAATGCCAGGATAAGGACACATGTGATGATCAGCAGAACCTGAGCGATGATTTGACTGGGCGTTGGGGTTGCCATGACGACGGCGGTGTACGACGACGTGGTTGAGGTGCTCGTGAAAGTTGTAGGCGTCGACGTTGTGTGCGTTGCTGAAACCGTGCTAGAAGATCGGGTGCTGGATGTGCTGGATGTCAGAGTTTGGCTGCTCGAGCTCTTGCTCGTTGAAGTGGACGTGCTTGAGAGGCTTGTGCTAGACGTTCTTGTTGCTGAAGTGCTGGTGGTGGATGTCGACGAGCTGCTGCTGAGGCTGCTTGAACTGCTGCTCGTGCTTGAGATGCTGCTGGAAGTCGAAGTGTGGCTGGTACTGCTGCTGGACCTGGAAGTGGTTGTCGTGGATGTGCTCGCCGTGCTGGTGGAACTGGATGTGCTTGATGTACTCGTGCTAGATGTTTCTGTTGAAGAAGTGCGACTGGTGGATGTCGATGAGCTGCTGCTGATACTACTGGAGCTGCTCCTTGTTTGTGATGTGCTGCTGGAACTGAAGGTGAGGCTGGTACTGCTGCTGGACCTGGAAGTGGTTGTCGTGGATGTGCTTGTAGCAGTGGTGGAACTCGATGTGCTTGAAGTACTCGTGCTATACGTTACTGTTGAGGACGTACTGCTAGAGGAAGTGGTGCTGGTGGATGTCGAGGAGCTGCTGCTGATTGTGCTTGAGCTGCTGTGTGTTTGCGAGGTGCTGCTGGAACTAGCAGTGTGGCTGGTACTGCTGCTGGAACTGGAAAGGGTTGTCGTCGACGTGCTTGCCGTTTCGGTAGAGCTGGACGTGCTTGACATACTCGTGCTTGATGTTCTGGTCGTCGAAGTACTGCTGGCAGATGTCGATGAGCTGCTGCTAACGCTGCTTGAACTGCTGCTCGTGCTTGAGGTGCTGCTGGAAGTGGAAGTGTGGGTAGTACTGCTGCTGGACCTGGATGTGGTTGTCGTGGATGTGCTTGTCGTGCTGGTGGGGCTGGATGTACTTGACATACTGGTGCTAGACGTTCTTGTTGCTGAAGTGCTGGTGGTGGATGTCGACGAGCTGCTGCTGAGGCTGCTTGAACTGCTGCTCGTGCTTGAGGTGCTGCGGGAAGTGGAAGTGTGGCTTGTACTGCTGCTGGACCTGGAAGTGGTTGTCGTGGATGTGCTCGCCGTGCTGGTGGAACTGGATGTGCTTGATGTACTCGTGCTAGATGTTTCTGTTGAAGAAGTGCTACTGGTGGATGTCGATGTGCTGCTGCTGATACTACTGGAGCTGCTCCTTGTTTGTGATGTGCTGCTGGAACTGAAGGTGAGGCTGGTACTGCTGCTGGACCTGGAAGTGGTTGTCGTGGACGTGCTGGTGATGGTAGTGGAGCTAGACGTGCTTGACGAGCTTGTGCTGAACGTTGCAGTTGTTGAAGTACTCCTGGTGGATGTCGACGAACTGCTGCTGACGCTGGTTGAGCTGCTTCTTGTGCTTGAAGAGCTGCTCGATGTCGAGGTGTAGCTGCTTGTGCTGCTCGTCGTGCTACTGGTTGAACTCGAAGTGCTTGATACACTTGTACTAGATGTCCAGGTCGTTGAGCTACTGCTGATAGATGTCGTGGAGCTGCTGCTGCTACTGCTGGAGCTGGTGCTCGTCAGCGAGCTGCTGCTTGAAGTGGAGCTCTGGCTGCTCGAGCTGGACGTGGTGCTTTCGGTGTGTGTCGTCGAGGTCGTGGTGACCCAAAACGACCAGAGGTCTCCGCAGAGGCTTCCGTTGTAACCCCCATGAATGTACAGTATTTGGTTGCGGCCGTCCCAAGCAGCCACGTGAGACCAGCGCGCCGATGGGCCAGCATGTTCTGCAATCAGGCTCCACACGTTTTCCATGGAATCGTATCTCCAGAGGTCACGTCTGAGGAAGCCATCATTCCCACCGTGCAGCCAAAGCAAGCGGCTGCTGGCATCCCAGACTGCCGCATGGCCCGACCTCGGCGAAGGCCCTCCAGAGAAAGGCACTTCTGTCCAAGTGAGCGTGGCTGCATGTAGGGTCCAGAGATCTGCCAGCAGAGCATCCCCGTAGCCACCATGCAGCCACATCGCATGTGCTGTGCTATCCCAGACTGCCACATGAGACGAGCGCCCTGACGGTGTGCCGCTGGGTACCATCTCCTGCCATCCGTGGGCATTGGAGTTGTACCTCCACAAGTCCGACAGGTGGCGCGTACCGGTCCAACCACCGTGTACCCAAAGTGCAGCGGTGCTTTCATCCCAGACAGCAACATGTGCCTCCCTTCCGGAAGGTCCAGCATCGTCAAACTCGAGTGTCCACGCATCGGATTGGAGTCTCCATCCATCTCGAAACCAAGCTAATGTTTGGCTGTTGTACCCGCCATGCACCCAAAGTGCTTGACTGGCAGGATCCCAACCCGCCGCATGTGCAGCGCGAGCTGCCGGCGCCACGGCCGTCACCGTCCGGGTCCATGCTTCGGATGTGGCGTCGAAAGCCCACAAGTCGCCGTCGAGGTTGCTTCCTCCGTGGATCAACAGCACCTGCCTCGCTTCATCCCAGGCTCCAATATGCTCGGACCGTGCTGCGGGGCGGACAAGGCCGGCGTCCGTCAGATCCGTCACACGACTCCACT